TACGAGGAAAAACGAGTTGACCATTAGGCTGGAAGGTCCTGGGCGTTGAAAGTTAATGAAATAATGCAGACTTAAGGTGAATCGGATACATCCAATAACGAAGGTCGCGACAGCCACGTATCTGGCACTTGTAAAATAAATGGCGGCCCATGCCAATATAACGTATAATTACATAATTTAGAGGGCGCTCGACAAGTAGTTGACGATTGTGTTTACATAGGACTATGAACACTCAGGTGTTCAACATTGCACCTGATGTACTCATTTGACACGTATGCCTTAAAAGTATCATGTGGCACAATTAGCCTCGATGACACCACGAGCGAATCTGTTCAAGCATGAGTCGCGATAATATTAAAATCCGTAGACAAAATAGATTTCATTTGTCCTAACCAACGTGCTAAAAGTACCCCGGCATTTAACTCGTGATGGGTATGGCAATTGTCTTTTTCGAACCTAATTTCGTTTTCGCATAGATAAGGAAAATAGACAGTCCAGTTAATGTATTTTCGAAGCGTAAATAAATGACGGCGGCGTAGCCACGTTGAAACGCATCACAAAATCCAAGATGCCGACACGGAGATTTTTTACACGTTTTAATAAAACGCGCAATTTTTATGTGCGACAGCAGCTGGGGGAGTTCAGTAACAAAATTTGACCACTCGGTATTAACGTCGTCAGGTAATTTTTCGCCCCACTCTAGGGACATCGAGTCTCATAATAGATTTGGTCAAAATAATACAGGGAGGCAGAAAGCCGAGTAGATCAAATAAGCATCACGAACGTCAGGTTCGTCGGCACATTCATTGTCCGCTATAAACTGTAGCACGCGCAACATCAGGTACGGCGAACTATTGACACCGTTTTAAGTTTTTATTGGACAAGTTCATTAGTTGACGTAAAAATAAATTTGCGCTACCGGAAACAGCAAAGTATGTTAACAACTTCTTGTTGCAACTTTGGAAAGCATAGAGGCAGTCGTTCAATGAGCCTCCGGGTTACGGTACCGCCGAGCTGTCAAGTACGACGCGAATTTTACGAGAGTCAATTTCCGGCTTTTACACAGCACGGTGTGTTATAAAATACAACCTCGAGAAAAAGGCTACGGAAATATGCCCAAGTTTAATATAGTCTGTCATAAATTCACAATAAAGTGCACGTAATTTCGAATCCGTTTCTCTAAATTTTCGAATCGCTTAAGGGCCAAGTGACGAGATCCCAGAAAGCTTGATGCGCGATCTTTAGCCGGTCTAAAAGCGGCATCGACAGCCATAATAAAAAATTAAGCGAAATATAAAAATGTCGATAGTAAACTTCAATTAAATTAATAAATACTTTTTCCATAAATTGAAATTGTTCTGTTACAGCTATCATTATATTATTTCATATATTCGATACCTACAAATTTCCATTTGTCCCAAATAGTATATTGTGTATGGGGTAAATGAAAATTAAAGTATAGTTGATAATGTTATAAGCCTGGGGCAAATGAAAATTTGTTTGAATTACATAAATTACAATTAAATTAGTCAAATAATTAGGTAATCTTTATTATTTTAACATAATTTAGTACAGTTTAATGCTTACTTACTATTTCATAAACTTTCAAATTATATTAACAGTCTTTTGTTTTCATATAGTAGTGATAATAATAATTTAACATAAAAAATAACAATTTCAAGTAAAAATTATAAACAAAATAACAAACTAACAGCATTTTTAATTTTAAAATATATCACATAAATTAATGTATGAATAAGTAGTTAACATAGTGCCTANACATAAATTAATGTATGAATAAGTAGTTAACATATTGCCTAAACTGATTATTTTTCATTGACATTTATGTATCCAGGAAATGTGTATATCGTTTTTCTGTTCTTTTTATGTTCAGTTGATATTGGTAATATTGCAAGAATCATCTATACTGTAATATCTGACAAGTCATTTTCAACAATATAAAAATCAGTTCCAATTTCATTATTTTTTTTTTAATCCTCGTACTAAAATATCCCCATTATCTTCATCTACACGTTAAACTAAACATACATACTTAAAATGATGTTTCTTACGGTTCCCTCCAATAAAATCTATTAAAAGAAATACTCCGGTTTTATTTGAGACCAAATTGGTGTATTATATAAAACTTCTTCAATACTTAAATCTAATGAATTGTCATTACAATCATCTTCTGATGAATGATAAACTACATCATCAATATAATCAATTGATTGTTCCAACACAATATTTTGTGCATCTTTAACAGCTTTCTTAGGTCTCTCAAGTTTACTAGGATATTTGATTAGCTTTTTCTTTGAGGTTGCTTCCTCCAATTATTTTAACATATTTTTATATGTTAAAACTTCACCATACTTTGT